GGCATTTTAATAATATCTTTAACAAAAAAGGTACTTTTAGATAAGTACAGTCTATGATTTTGAATATTTGAATATTTCTCCCATAAAATATACAGTCAATCTACTAGACGATATGTTCTGTGAAACGCTTTGAGACATCTCAACTATGCGATAAGGTGTGATATCAAATGCAAGGGTTATGATTATTATTTTTATTTCCCAGATGAAATGGGAAAATAACGTTCTTTAAAAATTTAGGAAGAAAAACAAAGTTACAGGGAAACGGAAATTCACTCCCATTTTGTAAAAGATGTGAGATTCACAAGCAAATTAATGATCCTTGCATTTGATAGTGCACCGTATCACGTTGTTGTGATGTCTCAAAGCTCTTCACAGGAATTGCTGTAAGGTGTAGTGAAGTGACGATGTATTTGAAGGCGAATGTGGCAGCACAGCAATGTCCCACAAACCGTTATGAAGTGAATGATCATAACTGTTTTTGGAACCATAGGTAAGTTTACCTACTCTGCACACCTCTGTTTACCTCGCAGTCAGCAGGAACCTGGTTGTTAGTTGATTGGCAGATCACTTTTTGGGGGTAATAATCCTTTTAAAAAAAATTTGCTTCTCGAATAGATCACTAGATCATTAATGTCCACCTGAACAGGCATCAGGTGATCATGAACCCTACAAATTTCACCCCATAATCTGTTCATCCCCAAGTGCCCGTTGCTCCTTCTGACATGATTCATCACCTTGCGTTTAAGTGCTGTGAAAAGCTACCCACGTGAAAGGTGCTTTGTGTTTGTGGGACATTGCTGTGCGCAATTGGCTGCCGCGTTCGCCCACAAATATAGTCAATTCACTTTACAGTGTGTTCTGTGAAGCGCTTTGGGACGTCCTCCTATGTGAAAAGCGCTATATCAAATGCAAGGATTATTATTATTATTATTATGTAAATGCAAGTTGTGGTTGTAAAAGCCGGTATCGCTCTGCCTGCAGCTGTTCTGTTATGACAGAAACTTTCACTCAAAGCAAAAGTTAACTGTTCAAAAGGAAGTTGCAATCTGACCTGAGGCAACTCTGGGAATCAATGCTATCGGATATAAAGACGCGCCCCATTGAGCAAAGCAGAAGCTGTCATTGTGTGCGCCAGAAATGGGAATTCCTTCCTTTCTGTTTCTATTTCTTGGCTCCGTGCAGACAGATAGAGATGCTGTGAGGTCACCTAGACCCTGTAACTATGAAAAGGGAATACTGTGGATGCCGATTTGGGAGACCACTTCTGTGGGTCATTGCTGTGCGCAATTTGGCTGTGGTGTCCAACCACAAAACGATACCGAGTTACTGCACTTTCCAGCTTATCCAATGAAGCGCTTTGGGATGTCCTCCCGACATAAAAAGGTGCTATACCTAAATGTATGGCGCGTTTTGGAGACCGAGCATTTATCATTGTTTTTCCATGTCATGTTACAACCTCAGTGATATACAATTCTTAAGAGTCAATAAATTTGTCCACATCCATCCATTCTTCGATAAGTGACAAGTTAAGTGTTTGACCTTCTATGTACAGGACATTAAGGGGCTGAAGTACATTAGTTACAGTGCTTGCCTACCCGACAACAACACCTTGCATTTGTGTAATGGCCTTGATGTAGGATAATCTCTCGGCGTATTGCCCAAAGACAGGGTGAGCAGGGAAGAGAGGGGGTGGGGGTGTGGAAGGGGAAGCTGACCACTGAAGCGATCAAAGAGGTGGGTTTTAAGAGAGAAGACAATTAGAGAGGGAGGGAGTTCCTGAAGTACAACAACAAAAACTTGCATTTATGTGGCAAGTGACACAGAGCAGCATCTCGAAGCTCGTAACAGTGGGGGAGCTTGATGCCAAGCTGGAGAGAGGAGGAAGTTGATGGGCATGGTCAAAGAGGAAGGTCTTCAGGTAGGATTTGAAGACCAGCAACGAGGACCCAGACGGAGGTACCGAGGCAGAGAATTCCATAGCGTCAGGGGTTGAAGCCACGGCTGCTGACGTGGAATGGAGGGAGGATTGGGGTGTAACCTTAATAATAATTATTATTATTAATCTGGTCAGAGAGATACGGTGGTGCCAGGGAATTAAGTGATTCGTATGAGGATCTTGCAATCCATCGGTTCTGTTGTGGGAAATCAGTGGAGCACGGCCAAGACCTGGGTGACGGGGACGCAGAGTTTGGTGCTGGTCAGGATACGGGCGGCAGAGCTTTGAATTAGTTGGGTTTTATGAATGGTGGAGCCGGGGCCAGGATGAAATGGAAAAAAGTTAGGGTAGTGTCCGTTGAAGCCAAAGGCTTTGGTTGATTTTGGGCACAGTATAATAAAAAGGATAAGTTCACACTTGTAACAAATCCTAAAAATATAAGAATTGCAAGGTGAAAGGAGACCAGGGTCCATCCAGTTTGCCTTCCACTATCCTGGCAGTAGCATACATACGTCATGTCCCGAAATATATACGTATCGTATCCCTATATATTATTTCCTAATAGAAATCTGTGTAATTTGTTCTTTACTACTCGCTCATTAAAGTAATGCTTCCACAGATTCGTTCTGACTCATAAAATATAGATTTCAGATCTATAATTAACAGCAGAACTTGCCATGTTCCACAAAAAGATTTGATTCAATATTAGTACATCGAATGAGTCACTCAACGTTGCATTTTTGCCTTATTTTATGTAAAGGCTTTGAGATATTAAAAAGGCTTTGCATCAAATTGTTGGCAGATTTCAAGCAGCCATTCGTGCGGTTGCGGGCGCGTGTGTTTTAACTCTGAATTTGTTCAATTTAAACTACCGTGAAGTTGGCTTGTACATGGTTACGGGCATGTCATGGCAAGAATAAAAAAATAAACAGAGCACACGTTTCGCATGAGTTAAGGTCAGGAGATGCTGGAATGGGGCCAGATATGTAAAATGCTCCATGTTGAAACTTGTGTATGAGTCAAGCAGGTACTTGAGTGTGTGTGTGTGTGTGTGCGCGCCTACAAAATATACAGTCACTACACTTTACAGTAGATCCTGTGAAGCGCTTTGAGACATCCGTAGAATGCTTAAGTCTCCTCACTCTCCATTCGACTGGCATTGGCCTCCTGCTTGTCCCTCGCGCCCTCCGCTGCACCATTGGAGGTTGCGCGTTCAGCCACTATGCCCCAAAACTTTAGAACACTCTCCCTCAATCCCTCTGCCTTGCCCCCCTCTCCCCCCCCTTATTCAAGTCCCGCCTTAAAAGCTTCCTTTCCGACCGTGCTTACAGTCACCTTTCCCCATCCCCCATCCCCCAGGCTCGGAGCCAGGCCCCACCACTGCTAAGCGCTCTGAGACGCAACTCTACGTGGAGGGCGTTGTATAAGTGCAAGTTTTGTTGTTGTATGACGTGGTAACCCGCCTGAAGGGCCCTATTTCACAGCAAATTATTGTTGTGAAAAACACGATATCAAATGTAAGTATTATTATGTGTATTTGTGTGAGGGTGGCGGGGGGTGTTGGGGGGTGGGGGGCGACGATGGTGGGGAGGAGGGTTGTGAGAAGGTCCGAGTGGGATTGATCATGAAGAGGGAGGAACTCGAGGCGAGGACGTGATGTGTCAGCCTGACGATGGCTGAGTGAGTGACTAATGCTCTTTCAAAGGATCTGGTTAATGATTAAACACTTTGTGTTGGGCTTGAGCTGTGCTCTCTTTGCGAGGATAGAAAAACAACGACGACCTGCATTTATATATTGCCCTCATGTGGGGTAGCGTCTTGGAGAGTTGAACAGTGGTAGAACCTCTTATCGTCAAACCCNTTTTTTTTCAGCGCACACATTATTAAATACCCCGACTGTAGCTTCAGGTCCACAAGTTTCAGAATCTGCAGAAATGAAAGTGGAGGGATATAATTCACACCCAGTTGCAAGCGAGCGCTGGAATTCAAACAGAAAATACAGAGCGAAACTAAAATACCTGGAAAGTCTGCTGTTTAGTAAACACGAGGAGGGGTGGGGAGGGTGAAACGGGATGAAATCAAGGAGTTAAGATGTGATGCAAAATCATAGTGAAACTGCGCCATAAGCACTTCTTCCGGGAATATGAAAGCAAAAGCGGATCGGAAATTGTACCTCAGACAAGCTCTCTTTCCATTCTGTTTTTTTTTGGCCTGTGCTGATTTGTTTAGCGAGGTATTACTGGATAAGATTGTAATTGATGTGTAGGTAATAATAATAATAATAATAATAATAATAATCCTCACATTCGATATCGCACCTTATCACGTTGTTGAGCCGCCTGAAGACATCTTATATGAAGTTTGTTTCTGTGGTCTTTTATGGTTGTCCTTTCATTTGGGACACACGCGCACACAAACACATACATTCAGACACGTAGGTAACACTCATAATTCTTGCATTTGATATTGTGCCCTTATCCCGCTGAAAGGCGTCTCCAAAACGCTTCACGTTACTTTTCGCCGCGAAATGGAGTGACTGTGTATTTGGAGGCAAACCCGGCAACCGCAACAAGAAAACAACAAACTACGTACGTTTTGTACAGCGCCTTTCGAGTCCGACTCGGAGGTGAGAGTGCTGCCGCTGAGCCGGGCTGACAGAGACGCGCACCCAGACACACAAGTTACACGCAAAACACGCGTACAAGTAGACAAACACAAGCATGTTAAGGTGTTAACAGCTGAGATGTTAAATCGAGGTCTAATGTGCAAAATCATAATAAATAACAATCCTTGCATTTGATACGGAGACTTCATATCGTAGTGACATCTCAAAGCGCTGTACTGGAAACTGGTTTAACTGTACTTTGTGGGTGAAACGCGGCAGCAATTGCGCACAGCAATGGCCCGCGATCAGCCGTGGAGTGCCCAATTTTGTTTGGGGGGTTGTTGGCCAGGACAGACTCCCTTCTCTTTTCGAATAGGGCCATGAGATCTTTCCACATCCGCCTGAACGGGCAGACGGGGTCTCGGTTTAACATCTCATCCGAAGGCCGTTTAAACTCACCAGCTTTGCACGCGGCTTTATCGTGCCCTTTTGAAGAACCCAATTGGGAAATTCCGAACACTGCCAACGGAGAAGGAGAATCCACAGTAAAATATTCACACTTAGGATTGATTGTGGCAATACTTTGCAATAGTTTTAGAAACATTTCTGCAATACAAATCCTCTCAAGTGACTTATAAACAATTGTATTTAAAGTCAAGAACGGACAATCATTAAGATACAATATTATTGCAGTTACTCCGATATTGTTACTGCTGCAGTTACTATTCAGCTCCTGTGTCCCTAAACCCTGGACCTCTCTTCCTCCATCCCTCCGTCTTGCCCATTCTATCTCATTAAAAGATAAATTTCATTAATAGCCTACCTCTTTGACTGCACCGACAGTCGTCTTCCCTCTTCCTCCCTACTTGGCATCTGATCCCTGCCTTGTGAAGCGTTCGGAGACATTGCCCTCGTGAACTGCACTATGTAAACGTCAATAATGCTTTTGTGGAGCTGTTGGAGGACTTCGTAATAACCAGAAGCTGCAAACCTATTTGGCAATGTGTGAATGCTGCGGAAAGTGGGCGGGCAATCAGGTGGCAAAGTATGTGCGTGCAGTCTAGATGGTGCCAAGCCAACAGGTACAGTGCCAAACTGGCAAGAGGTAGGTTTCAAAGAGGGGAATTAAAATCAGATAGAGAGGGTGTGAGGTGGAGGAGTGGAGCTCGGAAGTTGCAGTGGTGAGGGGCATAGTGGACATGGCCACCAAGCCAACACCAATAATAATATTAATAATACACTTGGCCAGGCTGTTACATGTGTGTCGGCCTGGCTTAGTCGGTGGCACGCTCGCCAAATGTTGTGGGTTCCTGGCATCAGGAGGTGGAACTCATAGAGTCGAAGCTGGCACTCTGATGCAGTGCTGGGGGAGGTCTGCATTGTTGGAGGTGTCATCCTTTGGATGAGACATTAAACCGATGCCCCATCTACCTGTTCAGACGCCACATGATGAAGATACCTTGGATTTATTCGAAACGAGAAGGGAGTTTCTCCTGGTGTTCTGGCCAACAATCCCCCAGATAAAACTGGGCACTCACTATGGGGCATTGCAGTGCCCAAATAGGCTGCCGGTTTATAGTAATAATATTCCTTGCATTTGATATAGGGGTTTGCCCACAAAGCACACAGGTACTATATTGTACAGTATATCCTGTGAAATGCTTTAGGCCATCTTCTCGATGTGAAAGGTACTGTACCAAATGTAAGGCTTATTATTATTATGTTCGAAGGATTAGGAAAGATCCAGATAATAATAATAATCATCTTTACACTTGATACAGCACCTACACTAATAAAGACAAAATGTCTGTCTGTGGGCCAAGAGCTCAATAAACGATTGATGTAGAGACATCATTTATACCTCATCGGAAAAGTCTTGCATTGGGGAGTGTCATGGGCATATTTTTTTTCGGGGATCTCCTATCGTTGATGAGCTATAATATAGTACAATAATAATTATCCTTGCATTTGATATAGCGCTTTTCACGTCGGGAGGACGTCCCAAAGCGCTTCACAGAACACACTGTAAAGTGAATTGACTGTATATTTGTGGGCGAACGCGGCAGCCAATTGCGCACAGCAGCGTCCCACAAACAGTCGTAGATTGAAAATTACCAATTTATTATTGTTTTTGGTTTTGGAGGGATTATTATTGTAAAAAATGCTTTAATTAAGCCCCAAAATATGAGGTATGCATGGTATTCTGCAACAAAGTAGTGACAGAGGAAATCACACACCCTCTAGAGACAGATACATCTATAATATATACTGCAGCAAAGTAGAGACAGAGGAAAGCTAGGACCTAAACAAGCTCATCACGTGTATGCAGTCCAACAAGGAGACCTCCCACAGGAGTCCTCCCAACCAGGAGTCTTCCCAACTGGAGTTCTACCAACAGGAACCCTCCCAACCAGAAGTCTTCCCAGCAAGGAGATCTATATCTCTATAGATTTCCAGCTTTTCATCTATAAAGCTAAACTGCGGTCTTCTAAAATGCAGCAATTTTTTCTGCAAAGGAGCCTTCGAAGCTAACTTTGACCACACTTTTTTTTCCCAAAGAATGACGGACAATATACTGGAAAGGACACGTGTTTGAGAGAAAAGGCAAGTAGAGAGTATAAGTATTGGAAATGATAATTTTTTATTTTCAGTTCACAAACAAAAAAATGCATAAATAACTTTTTTCTCCCAATTTGATTGTACGCGCGAGATGCAAAAAAATAATATAACTTTCTGGTCGATTGCTTTTTTTTTAATATAACAAAATTGAAACACTAATGTAAACTAAGGGAAGGGGCAAAGAGTATTGCTAAAATGAGACCCGAGCTGGTCACTATAATAATATTTTGAATTAAATTCATATTGTGGATTTCATTTTCTTGCGTGCCTTTGCTCAACTTGTTGAAAGATCTTTCTGGTTTCTGCGTGCACAATCTCCCAGGCACAGACGCTGCGATTCTGTGAAGAGACCAGAGAGGGAATTATTAATGGGATGTTCAGATGTAAAGTGTGCAGTGTACAACGCTTCCAGAATATACTCCATATACGTTCATATAGTCTAAGCTGCCACTCCTGTTGGGTGCTGGGGGTCTGATGTCCTGTCGGAGGTGCCGGCCTTCAAATGAGATGTTAACCCGAGTCCCAGTCTGCCTGTTCAGTGGGATGTTAAAGATCCCACGGGCCTATTCTAAAAGAAATGGGAGTTTCTTCCGGTATCCTGGCCAACAATCTCCCAAACAAGAAATAGTTGTTCACTTCATGGCTGTTTGTGGGACATTGCTGTGCACCAATTGGATATTACGCTTGACCACAAAACACGCAGTCTCTGCACTTCACAGTGTATCCTGTGAAGATCTTTGGGATATGCTCCCAACATGAAAGGCACTGTACTAAATGTAAGGAATACTATTATTATTGTACTGTAAAATGATTTCCAGTTATTAACTTAATCACCCACAAAACACGCACGGTCACATCATCTAACACTGTATCTTGTGACGTCTTGACGGCGCTATATCAAATACAAGGCTTATTATTTTATATTAGGAGTGAGCTACAGACTATGGAAAATAGTTGTATTTACAAAAAACAGTTATGGAGCGCCTATAACCTTCACAGATTTTCAAAGAGCTCCAAGACGTTTACCTGAATTGTACTGACTGTATTCGACAACAACAACAACAACAACAGCATTACATTTATAGAGCGCCTTTCACGTCGGGAGCACGTCCCAAAGTGCTGAATTCTAGTTAACATTCAACAATAAAATGGTTTGAGACATTGATGTTAAGGGTGAATGCTAATAGAAAGCAATTTAAATGTTACCTCATTTTCTTTTTTTTAAAATGATAGACTCGCAGTGTGGACAGCTCTGCGCAAGAAACTGCCTAATCTGTTTTATGATCAGAAGCATTTAACCATAAAAACGGGCTACCTTCGCTTTTAAAAATCGCTCCAGTTTGGCGAACCTTTCAATTACAGTTGATCGGTGGACACTGCGGGAATCCGGAGATTGCATCTGCAAGAAGATAAAAGAAATTAATTTGTTTTCATGTCTCTCTCGCTCTCTCTCTCTCTCTCTCTCTCTCTCTCTCTCTCTCTCTCTCTCCCCCCCGCATTGTGTCCGGAGCGTTTGTACGCTTTGAATAGCCCAAGCGCAAGCGAACGGCTGGTTTGGGATTGCGCGATGCTCACACAACTCTGCAGGTCAGAGAGAATTTGAGACACTTTGTTCAGAAATGTCAATGCCTTGCTGTTAGACCAGGGAGCGTCGGGTTTACTGAAGAGTTTCAACACTTCCTCCAGCACTTGAACGATGACAGCAGCTTTGTTTTGCTTCGCCTGTCGGAAGGAGAGAGACGGATTTAAAAAAAAATCTTTTTAAAAAAAAAAAAAATTTTTTGCGTCCTCAACCCACTCTCATTATGAATTATAATCCATAATGTATAATATAATCCAATTATAAATCTTATTATAATCTTCAAAAACACCTTCGGTCGCTCAGTCCACCACTGTTTGTGGGACACTGCTGTGCGCAATTGGCTGCTGCGTTTTGCCCACAAAACACACAGTCACTACACTTTACAGTATATCACGTGAAGCTCTCTGCGATGTCTCAACGGCTTGATAAAGTGCTATATCAAATGCAAGGATTATTATCATTATTACTATTATTACTAGTTGACGCGTAAAAAAAGGGGAATGCGTCAAAGATATCGACAATTTCCGTCTGTTCAACTCACCAGTTTTGAAATCGGAGCAGATGGCGAATTTATGTCGTTTTCGTTCCTGCACTCGATTGAAAACTCGGGATTCTGCGCAAAACATTTTTGTTTTCAAAACAGGAGAAAAAAAAAGTTAGGGATCTTTTTTTGGGGAAAAAAAAATGATTCCACAGATTAATTGTCCTCAATCAGGAAATTTCTCAAGGACTTCGAAATGGGTGACACACAAAAACTTCGAATCAGTTAACTTTGGTAAGTAAAGGGGTTTGAAAACGAGTTATTTCTCAACATTGTTAAAGAACATTTTTGATTAACATTTTTAAAAAGATTAAATCGTTGCGTTTCCCCCCCACCCAAAAAAGGCAATGATTTGCAATTTGTAGTACCGCAGGTTGATAAACTTTAGCGACAGTTTGTGGTCTTAATTATTGTCAGGTAGAAGAGATCACACATCATTGAAATAATGGTATTAATTATTATATTAATAATCGACATTGCATAAGGCTGTGCGTTGGTTTTGGGGGCTGTTGGGGACTTACCAAACTTTCCAAGCTGGGCATGAGGTCTCTCCAGTAGCGCCTCTGCACACACAGGTGGTCAGAGCCATGACCACTGGTCCCTGGGGAGTACAGGTACAGGAGGACAACAGGGAGGACGATCCAGGACATCTTGTTGCAGCTTCTGGGGGTGGAGGGGAGGGGGTGGGAGGGGGGGAATGCATTCAACATGTTAACATCAAAAGGCAAAGAAAATACCCGAACCTGAACTCGCAAACGCACAGCGGCGGTTTCCACCGGAGGAGGATTGCGGTTTCCTCTGTCACTGACCTGATCAAGAGAGATTCTTGCCGGTCTGTGATGCTCTGGTTTGATTCCTCTGAGAGATGTGTTGGAGCATCTCGACTGCAGTCTATTTAAACTCTCCGGCTCCCACGTCTGCCTTCCCCGGACATTCCTGGATTGTTAAAAACAAAACCCGTTTCTCTTTTCGATATCCCACTGTTTGCTCTGGGGTTCAGGGAGTGTTGGGGCTATTGAGCAATATCACACGACATTTCTGTCAAACCACTGCGTTTCCCACATGTACTATTTCTAAGGATTTCAGGTTAAATGTGGGTCCCATGCCAAATTATACTCCGGTATCCACCCATCAAACATTCCCTAATTAGAGTTGCAATATTCAGGCTTATGAATGGTCACTCCCATCTGAATTTTGCCCCGACAGATCTGCATCTGTTAAACTTTTGTG